CCTGCTTCATGTAGTGCACCAATTGCGTCCTTTCCTGGAACAGGAGCCCCCGCTTATGGTCGCTCGCTCACGCTTTGCTGCACAATACTGCAACTGCACTCTCTGAAGAGCACCCAGAAGCTGCAACTGGGCCAGAATGCAGCCTTCAGGAAATTAGGAGGGTTTCTTAGTTTCTCCACCTTCCATCTTTCCTACGTGAGCCAAGCCGACTCGCATCAGGCTACTAAGTATAAGGTGCTTTCATGCCTTTTCTGCCACACTACTGAGCTCGGATTGGCCCCAAGCCTGCTGGTCTTCTGGGAAGCCTTGAAACCTGATTGTTTGCCCAGGAATCAGGATCACGAAGTTAGGGAAGACTGAGTAGGTTGCTATGATCTTGTTTTTATTCTCAGATGTTACTTTTAAATGATATCATGGTTTCAATGTTATGATTTATCCTTAAACTCCATTTGCTGCCCATAGCTTTTATGGTTAAAGAGGCAGCCATCCATATCAGTTATACTGATCAAATAACTCTCCCCTTAGCCTTCCTGTTCCTTAACCTAAATGCACCCCATTTTTTTTAACCATGCTTCATAAAATCTAGCCCCCACCTTCTCCTCAGCTTGGCCCTTTCCAGTTCCTCACCATTCTTCTTATACTGTGACAATCAAAACTGGACAGTACCACAGGTACAGCCTGAACAATGACCTTGCATAACCTCAACATCCTATTAATGAGACTATTAATTATAATTAATTTTAATTAGCTGCTACACACTGCGGGTTTATTATTCTTAACCTATGGTCTACCAGCAACCAAGATTTGTCTCACAAATATTACTGCCAAGCCAACTATCATAGTTCCTTGAAAATAAGACCCAGTCTTATTTTCTTTTGGGCCTAGAGATAAGCACTGGGGCTTATTTTCAGGGATATCTTTTTTTTCCCCAACTACAGGAGGCGGCGAGTGTGGGGGCCGACAGGAGCGGCAGCACCGACTGGAGTGGCTGGCCCCATCCTCTGTCCCACCGTGTACTTGCCTGCGGCTGCAACAGGCCAAACTCTTGGTGTGCTCTGGCCTTCGCCCTCTCTGCCTGCTGGCCCTGCTGCTGCTGGAACACCGGAGCTCGGATCTTGTCACGCCAATCGAGCTGCTTTTGGCAGAACGCTGCATGGTGAGTTATGCCATTGGGGTGCGTGAGCGCCTCAACTGGCACAATGAGCCTTGCAGCATCCAGCTGCGAGTGGCCGCAGAAGAGGTCGGATAGTGGTACGACAGGTGTCAGGGCATGGGGGGCCTAGCTGCAGCGGTCCTAAGATAAGTGGGTGCAGGGCACATGGGTCACCTCCAGACCCTGCCCTAGCTTGATTTTTACACCTGTGCCTCATCCCACCTTGTACATTGACATAGGTGAGGCTTAACTAGGGCTTATTTTGGGGTAGGGCTTGTATTAGGGATACGCGTGAAAATCGGGCTAGGGTTTGTTTTCAGGATACATCGTGTTTGGGGGAGACACAGTACACTACACTACTCATCTGACTTCTCCCATCTAAGTGGAGAATTCTACATTTCTCACAACTGGACTTCATTTTGTTGAAAAACTAAAAAAAAGGCCTTTGAACATGTCTTCAGAGATGCCATCAATCCCCACCTAACTTTAGGAATCACATCAACTGAACATCCCTCCTCATCAAAGTCATTCATAGAAATGTGAAGAGCAGTGCCCTGGGCAGAACCTGAGGTCGCCCACTGGATGCATCTCTCTCTTTCTTTCAAGCCAGTGTTCCTTCATACACTAAATCTATTGTTGGTCACCAAGATGTGTTTAAAAGCCAACAAGTAATTATAACAAGTACCTGATCAGACATGGATCCAAGTGTCTCCATAGTTTATTTCAGAGAAGAGACATGAATTCCTAATCATCATTTCAGGCTAAACTGCTGGTTTTTCAACTGATTCCACAGAAAATGACCTTGTGAAAATGCCTAGCAGCATTTCAGTCAAAGTTAGTATTCTATAAATCTGCTACATCTTGATCTTGTTTTCAGGAAATATGTCTTTCTCTGAAATCCACGAATTCTGACTGGCTGCAACCACCATCCACTATACCCCCAAATTTTATGATAGCACCTCTGATATCTTTTCAAATATCCAAGCAAGTCCCATAAGCAACATTAAAACCTCTGATCAAAACACTTATTGGCCACTTTAATATAATACTAGCCTTAGGAATAAACCACAACCAGCTGAGGCCAGACAACATAAACCATAAATTCACAAAACATGGAACTCAGTCAAATCATTGCCAAACATAAGCGCAATAACACAGATAAGGACACCAGACATTAACGGCATGCATCATCCAACATTTGCTTTTGTAATCAATTTCTTTCACCATTTTTCTCAATTGCCACTCTCACCCAACTTACTGATCATGACAGCTCGCCCTTTAGGATCCACAGCTAAGTACTGCCCGGGAACAATCCTGCGGCAGCCGCTTTTGCCAAAGGTTTCCTGATGAATTTTCTCAAACACATTTTTAGAAGGCTGGTATTCCAGGATGACGATGCGGCCTGAATCACTGCCCACCACAATGTAGTCCTTGGTCCCACCAGTTAATCGGAAGGCCATGAGGGAGCGAATGATGCCAAAAACTTCTACCGTCAACAAGGTATGAACCTTTCCAGTGTTTGGATCTGGACGAAGCAATTCCAAGATTTTCCCTCGGGAAACAACAATTTCTTGCTGCTTAGTACCTGCAAAATGCAAGCTACGATCAGCAATTCAGGAGGATTAAGGCCTTAGCCTCCCCATTAACTTCAATCCAATGGCAGTTAAGAGCTGCAAACCCTCCTTGACTTCTTGTGTCTAGACTCCCACACTGTAGCCCATTCACTTACCCAAACCATTTTAGGAACGGCAGGCAAATATAGGATGAGGATTCTGTAAGTTCCTTAGCAGGCAAAACAGTCTGGGCTGGATGCCAGTTGGACAAAACCTAACGTGGCGAGTGAAGCTGGATCTTTTTATGTGGGACTCTTACTACACTCACGAAAATGGACAAGATTGGTTTGCCCCAATGTGTGGTTCCATAGGGCTCTCCAGCTGTCTCCCACATCAAAACAAAGGCATGCTTGAAGCCCTCCCCCAGTTCAAGGCAAAACACCATCGATATGTTGATGATACTCAAGCTATACCATGCTGCCCTGACTAAGACTTGGGAAGCTGTCAGGGGCAAAATAAGCTCAGATGAAATCTTTCCCAGACCAAGTAATAGAACACAGATGGGTATTTGAAAAGCATCAATTCCAACAGTCAACCAGAATGAAACTGTGCTCTTCATGAAGCAGTAGTTACTGATTTGGGAGCCCTGGTGGAATCAGAAATGCCGGCTCCCCTTGCTTTATGCTAAAGGCAATTTTCCCCAAACCTCATCTAGCCTCACAATTTTTATCCAATTACATAAATTTTATTCACATTACAATGTGAATAAAATTGATCAATTGTATAGCAAATTTGCACAAAACAAGGAAAAGTGATACTGCTTAAGTCAGTCCTCCCTGTGAATCAGAGAGGAGACTAGATGAGCTAAATCTACTTTAAGGTAATAAAGTACTAACAGAATCCTGCAATTCTGAAAATATGAACTTCCAGTCACTACTTTTAACCACTTCATACATTAGGGTAGGTCCTCTTACTTTATTTCTTTGACTGGGAAATAAGCCACTGAGAGCCACTGAGGGCGCCTGCAGATTCTCTAATCTGATTTGCTTCCTAGGTAGCATCATTACATACAGGCTGTGGCTCCCGACATCTTTGCCCAATTACCTTTGGTGCACCAGTTGCTAGTCTACATACAGTAGGGTGCTTCAGCAGTGACGATGCAGGCCCTGGTCATACAATGTTCATTACTTGGGGTTGCCTTTGGAGAAGACCTGGAAGCTACAACTGATTCAGAATGGAGCAGTGAAACTGGGTCAGTCCTGCCACTGAAGCCTCTTCTAAAGTTGCTGCCTTGGTTACCGATAAGCTTCTGGAGGCAACAACTCAAAATACAGTAGGTATTGCCCTAGCATGGCAGAATCTGTCCCTTCAGCAAGAGTATCTTGAAAAGGCCTACTAAGAGGCGGCCTGCACCAAACTTGAGAACACGAGCCAAGTAGCAGAGCCTTTTCTGCTGCGGTCCCCACACTTTAACCGCTCAGGCCATCAATACAACCCAGGGTTTAACTCTAGTTGATGGCCAATGGCCTCCTTCTTCGGGGAGGCTGTCAGAGTTCATATCACGTCCCGCCTGCTTTCTGCTTTCCCTCCTTTGGAACTAACGATACACGAACGAACGTGGCCTCGCGAGCAGAGAGAAGTTTACCTGAAAAGTTCCCATGGATGGCATAGCTAATGCCGGTGGCCCGTTGAAGAGTTAAGTTGTACAGGAACATGGTGCCGGTTGACGTCGCTTCCCTTCAGCCCACCAGCTAGAAAAAGAGTTAAACAACGAACCCCGTAAGCATTGGGGGCTTCGTAGAACATCTGCAAGCCCCAGGAGGCCGAAGGGTTTCTCCTTCCCCTTGAGTTCCTGCAAGGGAAGAGACCGGGGCTCGGGCAGAAAGAGGCCCCAGCGCCCTTTTCGGAGCGCGCTCGGGATGAAGAGCAGGAAACGCCGCGGCCAGGCCCGAGAAGCAACGGGGAGAGGCCCGGCGCAGTCTTGGATACAATGCAGCAGCTCAGCCCGCGCCAGGGCCAAACGCGACGACGGGGAGGGCGCTGGGGCCGGCCTAGCGGCCTTGTACCCGCGCCGCAGCCGCCCTCCCAGGGAGGGTCGCGCCGGAGAGAGGATCGCAGGCGCCCCACCTAGCCTCCCCGGGCGAGATTCAGCGGCACCTACCGCAGAACGGCGCGGATGGCGGCGGATCCCGTCGCCCCCTCGCCTGCCGCACGGCCCGCGCTCCTCCCCGGGGTCCTTCGAGGCACCCGGCGCGCAGGCTGCCCTCGCCGCGCCTGACGCCGCGCCGCCGCGCGCGAGGCCCCCTCGGTCCGCGCGTCAGGCTCCGCCCCGGCACCCAGGCCCGACCGGATCTCTGCAGCCGCCGGCGAGATGCAGGCCTCGGCGCTGTCGCTGGAGCAGCTGCGCGCCCTCACCGAGCTGCCGGAGCTGGAGGCGGCCTACGGGCGCCTGTGCCGCGAGGAGGTGGGGGCGGGGGGCGAGGCCGGCGGGGAGGGGGGGCAGGGGGGGGAACGGGGCGGCCTCGAGTGCGCGTCTGCTTCGTTGCAGGGCGAGACGCGGGCGGAGCTGGAGCTGCTGCTGGAGCAGCGCGGCGCCCTGGAGGGGAAGGTGGCGGCGCTGCACCGGATGGGGTGAGTGGCGGGCGGGGCGGGGCGGGGCGGGGGGTCCCGGGACGGGGACCTTCACTCGCCGCTCTTTCTCCGCCTTCGCAGCCCCAACCTGCAGCTGATCGAGGGGGACGCGCAGCAGCTGGGGGGCACCATCGCCTTCACCTGCCGCCTGGCCGAGAACGTCAGTAGCAAGGTCCGCCAGCTGGACCTGGCCAAGGTTGGTGCCGCCGCCGCCGCCGCCGCCGCCCCCCCGGCGGAGAAACGCTGAGGCGGAAGGGCCGGCCGGCCCCCCCCGCTCCCTTTTTGCAGCACAATTCCACAATTGAATACAATTGGCAGAGGGCCAAATAGACCCGAGAAGGGAAGGAAAGGAAGGGGGAAAGGGGGGAAAGGAGCGGGTGGGATAAAGGGCGCTTGAGGTCCGACTCTTTCCCCAGCGGTGGAATGAACTCAAATAACAGCCTCCACTTAATTACGGAGAGGCTACATAATAGCGAGAACTGCAAAGTATCGCATCTTAATAAATCTTTTTAATGTCATTCCACACAGGGACAAAATTGTTTTGAAACAGTTTGGAGTTTATATTTGTAGTTTGTATTTGTCAATGTAGCCCCAGAGTATTTAACCTTTTTCTCCACCTTAAAACCTGGTTTTCTTGCCAAAATTTCATAATCTGAATAACCCCCTGGATTAATTTTTCTCCAAAACCCATGTCTTCCAAAACTTTAAAGTACCAATTTAAGTTATCAAAAGCTTTCTCTGCATCCAAAAATATCAGAGCTGCTTGTTTCTCATTATGAAATTGTAAGTGTTCAATAACATTCATAACAGTTCTTATATTGTCTCCCAGTTGTCTTTTTGGTGAATGTAAGACTGTAGACGTTTCTTCAATCTTCCTGCCAGTATTGCAGTAACAAATTTATAGTTGTTGTTTACTAATGAAATTAGTCTATAAATCTGCTCACCTTGCTTTGGCAGAACCGCCTCTACCAGGCCATCCAGAGATCAGATGATATTTTGGACCTGAAGTTTTGCACTGATGGTGTCCAGGCAGCCCTGCGGAGTGAAGACTATGAGCAGGCAGCAGCTCATGTCCACCGCTACCTCTGCTTGGACAAGTCGGTCATTGAGCTGAGCAGGCAGGGCCAGGAGGGTAAGAGGGCCATTTGGTGTCTGGCTCTTCCTGGTCCCCCTGCCCCATAGCGTTGACCCTTCACAGAGGGCCTTTCTGCTCTCAGTCCTTCTGGGCCAGACCTTCTCCAGTGTCATCTCTTTGTAACATTTTGTGAGGTCTTTACTGAAAAAGATATCAAATGGTATAAATTGGCATGGTGGCATGTGTATCATTACTGTGTTACATGCATGTGTGTTATAAAATGCCATATATAATTTGTTTTCTGAGGTTCTCGCAGGTATTTGTATGTGGATCTTTGGTTATTCGAGTTTTCTCCCGCGTAAGATTGGAAGTATCTAGGCAACATTTCGATGAAGTCTCATTCATCATCTTCAGGCTTGTGTCTTCGGCTCTGTGCTTTTCAGAGTAATGTGAGCTTGCAGCTGCTTCTTCCTTTTAACTGCTAGTGGGGGTGTGACTTGATTGGGTGGGGGCTTGGCCCCACCCAATCAGAACACAGCCAAGCCCCAAACTCAAACTCACATTACTCTGAGAAGCACAAAGCTGAAGACACAAGCCTGAAGATGATGAATGAGACTTCATCGAAACGTTGCCTAGATACTTCCAATCTTACGTGGGAGAAAACCCGAATAACCAAAGATCCACATACGTACATACAGCATTCAGCTTTGTTTGGGTATTTTCCCACATCATTATAGTTGTGCTTTTAAAGTTGTAGCAACGTTTCAGCAGAATCTCATCTGCCATCATCAGGCTTCTGTATTGTGTTCGTCTGTGAGTCAGTCTTTCACAGCCGTTTCTGTTTTAAATTTGGGGCAGCCTACTGCTGTGCCAGAATGGTTTTTTCTTCACCCTGATTGGTTAAGCAGTGTTCGGTTAGTTCCACGAGGTGTTTAGCTGGTTGGTATTTATTTTTCATGATTTCAAGGGTTTCTTTTATCAGGACTTGAGTGAATAGTGAAACCACGTCGAAGCTTACAAGCAGATCTTCTTGCTCCACGTGTAGATCTTTGATCATTTCCAAGAGGTGGTAGGAGTTTTGTACATGTGAAGCTGCTGTTTCAGCAAGGGGCTGTAGCTGTTTTGCTAAGTGTTTGCTAACACCTGGGCACAAACAGATCCCCCGATACCTCCAGCTCAAACACACCCCAACCAGGCACCCAGATGAAACCTAGCTTCTTAACAAATGATAGCCGTCCATTTACTCAGAGCCAAGCCGCACTAAAGGCCTCCAATAAAGGAACACAATGTTGCCAGTCAATCAAGACACAAAAAAAGCCACAAAACAGACAGAAGATATTAGAAACACCAATCAAGCAGAACACAGCAAACTCCAAGACCAATAAACACAGACCAAGACTCCCAACCAATCAGGGTGAAGAAAAAAACATTCTAACACAGCAGTAGGCTGCCCCAAATTTAAAACAGAAACGGCTGTGAAAGACTGACTCACAGACGAACACAATACAGAAGCCTGATGATGGCAGATAAGATTATGCCAAAACGTTGCTACAACTTTAAAAGCACAACTATAATGACGTGGGTAAATACCCAAACAAAGCTGAATACCATACATATAGATACCTGCAAAAACTTAACATATATATAGAGAGAGGGGGGGGGAGAGAGAGAATTTACAACAAGACAAATTCCTTGTGTGTCCAATCACACTTGGCCAATAAAGTATTCTATTCTACATCAGCATAATATCTATATCACTATATACGCTATATTAGCATAATAACCATTATGATTTTTTTTGAACACTAAACTAATTGTAAGAAGTCAGTAAACTCATATCAAAAGCACATCCCCAAAATTAACTTTGAAGCTGTCCCATGTTGTTGCCTCAGGCCTGCAGCAAACCTTGAATGTGGCTGTTGTTACTGGTTTTAAAGGCTTCTAGCCCTGACCTGCCAGGAAAACCAGATGTTTTTGATTTTATTCAGCATTGGAATTAGAATTTATCCTCTAGTTATGACTGAAGTAGAACTTACTCCGAAGTTTTTCTTCTGTCTCCAGTTCATGACCTTCTTAAGAACCTGAATTATTTAGTTAAATTAATTTCAGCATCTATAAATCAAAATAATATTGAAATAATCTGTTCCCTGGCAGGTACCATAACTGATGCCAACTTGAAGCTCCTGCAAGAAGCAGAACAGCAGCTGAAGACTATTGTTACTGAGAAATTTGAGGTTGCCATGAAGCAGGAAGACCTGGTCCAAGTGGAACGCTTCTTCAAGATCTTCCCCCTGCTGGGCCTGCATGACGAAGGGCTGAGTAACTTCTCCAGATACCTTTGCAAGCAGGTGAGCACCCTGCGGGTCTGGGGGTGAACAGCAACACTTGTGCTGCTGAGGGGATTTCTGACTCCTCTGCACTCTGTCAGTCTGGTGGATAAATGGATGGAAGAGCTCTGGTGGCCCTGCTTTTTCTTCTGATCCGCCCTCAATTGGCTGAAGATAAACAAGCAATCTGCAGTCAGTTTTTCTTCTAATGTTTGAAGTGTCCTTGTTGTCATAGGAAAGAGTAAGCAGTCAAGCTTCATCCTGCCAAGTTGTGTTCAGCTTGAATCAGCCGTACTGCAGAGATCAGTTAATAAGCTGCAATGCCTGGGGGTGCCCCCCTAAACTGGTGGTGCTATTAATCTTTCCCAGTCTTAGCCATCTATAAATTTCTCCCCATTCCTTCTATAACTTGAATTTCCCTGAAGTTTGCATATTTTTGTGCATGTGATAAAAGTTAGAAATAAATTCATAATTCTTGGTTCAAGAATATATGCTACTGCCTTACCTCTTTTTTTAGTTTATTAAATACCCATTTCCTGGAATCCAATATTAATTATCCTTTTCCTCTGGGTTTTCTATAAGTTTGAGAATTCCTGTATGAAGCAATCTCTTCACTGGATTTTCACTATTAGCACTTCATTGGCCAGCTGTTTCCTACCACTTGCGATGAGTGAGAATTTCCTTTTGAATCATCTATCTTCTGAAAGAGGAATCTTGCCATGAATTTATAGAAGATGCACTTAGTACATTTTGCCTGTCTCAGCTGATAATTGAAGTCTTTCATAATTGCCTACTATTGGTTCTTTGGCGTGTCTGCAGTTTGTTTCAGGAAGACCTTGGGGAGTTGGTGTGCAGTAGGAGATGGCCGTGGTGAGCCAACTTGCACCAATGGGTGTTGTGAGACAACAGGGCGGGCTAATGGAGCCTCTTCTTTCCAGGTTGCTAACAAAGCAGAAGAGAATTTACAGTTAGCGTTACAGACTGACCCAACAGACCGGCGATATGCAGTCCTGTTTGCAGACACACTGACGCTCCTCTTTGAAGGTAAAGTTCTGCTCTGCTTTCATCCTGAAAACTCAGAAATGAATAAGGCATTACTCCTTGGGTGAACCCCAGAGGAACCTCCACCGCCATGCCGAGCCTTCCACCTGCATGGCTGGGGCCCTTGAGCTCCTTTGGGCTGCTTCTCTATGGAATGTCATAGAGGAGGACAAAGGAAGCAGGAAGCTAGACTGAGGCCTCCAGGAAGTCTTTGCGTTGTAAACAAAATACAAAGCCTTCATAGGCTCAAGTGGGAGTGGGGGAAGGAGGGAGGGAGGGAAAGAGACCTGTGGTGGCGCAGTCGTTAGAGTGCAGTATTGCAGGCAACTTCTGCCGGCTGCCGGCAATCTGCAAGTCGAATCCCACCCGGCTCAAGGTTGGCTCAGCCTTCCGTCCTTCCAAGGTGGGTAAAATGAGGAGCCAGATGGTTGGGGGCAAGAGGCGGACTCTGTCAACCGCTTAGAGGGGGCTGTGAAGCCCTGTGAAGCGGTATATAAGTCTAAATGCTATTGCAAAGGAAGGAGGCAGTGGAATTGGCAGGAGCCTTTTGCTGTGGTTCCGGCTGATTTATGTATTGTCCTAGGCAGGACTGGATGGGAGTGGCTCTTCCCCATATTTAAGAGAGAGCAGGCAAGGTCAAACCCTACTTTTTAACTCACTGATCCCTAGTTTGTTCCTCTTTAGGTTAAAAACTAGCAACTTGGCAGCACATTTTCTGCTCCCTGTCACTGAGGTTTGGTGGGTCTGGTGTTTCTTTGCAGGGATTGCACGTATTGTGGAGACCCACCAGCCCATTGTGGAGACATACTATGGGCCTGGCAGGCTTTATGCTTTGATCAAGCATCTGCAGGCGGAATGTGATCAGCAGGTGGAGAAGGTGGTGGAGAAGTTCACCCAGCAGAGAGACTACCGTAGGCAGGTGAGGAAGGGTGTTCCAGGCAAATCTCCTCTGACGGGCTGGCTCTTGCTCTCAGGAGTGTGTGTGAAATGGAAAACAGCTTGCTTTGGGTTGAGAACAGAGCCCCCTGCCTGGAATGCCCTTCAGAATGTTCCAGTCGAGCTGCGCTGGGGCCGGACAAGCTTCAGTCACCCCACGTGTCCAGCCATGGGCAGGAGAGGGAATGTGGCCTTTGCGCCCTTGTTCTCCCACCCAGCATTACAGGAGCTATTCTGAATGCAACTGTACTAAAAAAACTCCTGGTACTTCTGAAGAAGGAAGAGGCGCCTCTCCATGTTGGCCTTGGGCCCAGTCGGGATCCTTGGTCCTGGGAAGCAGAGGGCCTTGTCCAGGCAGGGCAGGACTCTCGGCTGCCAAGGCCCAGCTGCTCCTCAGGGTCCTCTGGGCTCTGAATCAGGCTCCGTGCGGTGGCTCCTGCCCTTGGTCCCAAGAGCCTTTCAAGGGTGGAAAGTGCCCCCATGTCCCAAGCCATCCTCCCAGCAGGGAGACTGAGGCAGCCTTGCTGCAAAGCCCTTCTGTTTCCTAGCAGCTCCTGCAGTGAGAATCACACCTGGGCTAAGTAGGGAGAGGAAGCGGCTGTCAAGGGTGAGAGCCGAGGCTCCGATTTTCCAGGTTTGCCTCATCTTTGGAAGCTGCATGCCGGGCTGTGTGGAGACAAGAAAGGCAGCCTGCCCTTTCCAGAGCTGGACCTGCCACTCCCAGCGCGGTCAGCTCAGAGAGAGTCCTGGAAATGGGTCGGGCAGCTGCCAGGCCTTTTTCTCTGGCCACCTTCAGCTTTGCGAGGGCTGCAGCCACTGCTGGTTTCGGCTTGCCCGGTAAAGAGTGGGGGGGCTGATAGCTCTTGTCTTCCAACGGTTGCAGTTCCAGCACGTTCAGAGCAGCACGATGAGGAGTCTGGCAGGAGAAAAGATCGAGCCAAGGTGGGACACAACTCTCTCTTCTCTCTTTTTTGTCAGGTAAAAGAAAAGCAAGGCCGTCTCTTTACTGGGGGAGGTTGGGATTTGCTGAGCAACTAAGTCTGGGTTGGTGTTTCTACCAACTTCATTGGACTGGCTGGCTGCCAGCAGCCTCCCAGAGGGCCCGCCAGGGCCGACCCTTCCATGTAGGGCAGTGATGGCACCAAGTACCCAAACCAGAATGTGAGCCGGAGACTAAAGACCAGCTGGTCTCAGGTTTCTGGCGCTCCGGTGTGGGTGAAGACTGTGCCAGAAACCAGAAGAGCAGCTGGCGACAGCGCACGGGACCGCAGAGCGGGCTCCGTATGCCACCTCTGGCAGGCGTGCCATAGGTTCACCATCGTGGACATAGGGGCTGGTCCTTCCTGGGAACGTGAACGGTTGGTGCGGCTTCCTCGGGGGACTTTGGATGTCACCCAAGTTGGAATGTGACTTGCCTGGAAGCTTTGAGCTCCCTTCTTGCTCTCTGAGCTGCACAAGAGAGGTCAGATTTGTGGAGGTGAGTAGCTGCTTTCCAGTCTGACTTGGGGGAAGTTAAAGTTCCCCTTGGAGTAGCATCGTCCAACGGGCCAAAATCCATGGTGTTCTTCGTTTAACAATATAATTTTTATGACAGAAATTTTAAGGGAATAAAAACAATACAAATTTTGAAATAAAAAAAGGAAAGAAAGTAAAGCATTAAAATGGAATGGGGTAAAATGAAACAAACAGAAAGGAAAAAAAGAGAAAAGGGAGTTATAAAGGGAAGCTTTCTTAACAGCAATTACGTTTATATTTTATCCTCTCTCTCCGGTTACAGCATAAGTTCCTTCTTTCCATAGTCTACCCTTTCCAATCGTCAAATCCCTACACATGTTCATCTTTTTCTTTTTTCAGCAAAAAGTCCATAAAAAAAAGTTTTCACTCTATTCAGCTTTCAACTAATAAATGTAGTTATTGATCTTTTTCTAATCAAACAAGTCAGTTTTGTCATCTGCTAGTTCTGTCATCATCTTCAGCAGCCATTTCTCCACTGTGGGAATTTCAGGGTCTTTTCGTGTCTGTGTGTGTAATAACCGTGGAGCGGTTGCCTTATGCAAATGTTCCCCAAGTCTTTTCTGATTTGCTTATCCAGTAGTCCCAGCAAGTAAAGTTCTGGTTTTGGTTCTTTGATACTCCTGTTTATTTCTGTTGTGTTCAGTTGTTGGGAAAATCTGTCCAGGAGTGTCCGGCTGTGCGTAGAATCCGCTAGCCGTTTCTTTGCCTCTGTGTCCCTTGTGACAACTGAAGGAGAACTTTCAGCAGAGCTTCTGCAGAAGCGCCAGGAAGGAAACTGAAGGCAGCCAGGCGTCCCACGCAGATGGCTCATTGTTAGAGATTCTGGCTTCACAGAGGAGGTTCTCGGTCCCTTTTCTCTGGCTGACCCTTGCTTTGCTTCTCACAGGGAGCTTGACCCTATTTTAACCGAGGTCACCTTGATGAATGCCCGCAGCGAACTCTACCTGAGATTCATCAGGAGGCGCATCACCTCTGACTTTGAGGTGGGAGATTCTGTGGCCTCTGAGGAGGTGAAGCAAGGTAACATGCGCGTGTAGCTAGAGTGCCAGGTGCAGTGGGGTCGATTGCCTTCCTTCCTACAGCTCTGAACCCACGACCACCTGCTCCTTAGCAGGGAAAGTGAACCCCCAGGCATGGCGTGAGCCCTGCGCCCCTGAAACGGGGGTTTGCGCCCAGAGAGAAAGGAAGCATCCAGGTGGCCCTTGACTTAACACCCACAAGGGAGCCCAGAATTTTGGTCACGAGCTGTTGTAGTTGTGAGTCGCACCACAGGGCCAGATTCAATTTTGCAACTGTTTTTAAGATAAGCGAACCGTGCCGTGATTAAGCAAACCCAGCACATTCAATGGGTGTTTTGTACCATTTTCTGCCAGAAAAGGGCAAAAAAATGTTGTAAAATGGCCATGTGACTGGGACACTGCAATGGATCGTAGATGCGAGCCATTTTTTAAACACCCCAAATTCGATGGTGTGAGGCATTTGTAGCTTTGGGGCAGGTTTGTAATTTAACATTTTTGTAGTACACACATCTGAGTGGCTTGTTAATTAGTCAAGGGCCGGATATCACGGACTGCCTGGATGATCTCGGAGAAAGGAGCCGCTGCCGCTGCTGCCTAGGAAGCCACTGGAGGGGAGGGGTAGGAACGGCGACCATGGAACTGTCAAAGAAAGAGAGAGCCAGCCTCTCGAGCCTAGCTTTAGATCACTTTAGATCAACAGAGTTGGAAGGGACCTTGTAGGTCATCTAGTCCAACCCCCTGCCCAAGCAGGAGGTTCTACACCAGCTCTAGCAGCTCTTCAGCCATCCCAAGTAAACCAGATAAGAGTCATAACTAGACGAGATGGAGGGAGATGTGTGAGTCCTGCATGTGATAAAACAAACAAATCTCCTTTATTGTAAGGCTACATTGACAGAATCTTGCAAATCTGAAAGGACAAACCCCGCCCCACCCCCCCTCCCCGTCTTCATTGCCAGCTCCCATCGGGGCAGGTCCATCCTTACTTTCTCTCTTTGACCTGGGCAGCATCTCTCCCCTTTCATCAGGTCATCCTGGCTGCTCCATTATATCACTATTAAATGTTACACTTCATAGCGTAACATTTCACCTGATTTTTATGAAAGTTGGGTTTTCACATGTTACCCCATAATGCAGATTGTATGTACGGTGTGAATTAAAATATTGTGGTTCATAAACCATGGTTTGTGATTTAGTACAACACAGGGTTGCCTACATTCTGGAAAGTATGTATGTTCTCTCTCTCTCAAGAAACTCATCTTCTTATACTTAGTTTTACTGCACAGATAGTCCTTGATTTACAAATGATTGCTTAACAATGGTTTAATTTACAGTGGCTTAACAATGGCCTATGAGAATGTCAGTTATGAACTAAATTTAACTTTATGACCATCGCCCTGCCCCTTTATGATCGTGTGATTGCAACCAACTTGCACTTATGACCAATTGCAGAATCCTGTGGTCATGTAATCAAGAGATGCAGCATTTTACATTTTACCGCACTGTGTTTTGTATTTATAGTTGTAAACAATAAAAAATATATGTAAAAGAGTTGCAACATTTTTTGCTGGACTCCATAAAAAAAATCTGGAATCACATTTACAAACCCTGTGACTCAACTTATTCCTGTCCCATCTGTGGTCATAAATAGAGGACTGCCTTATGTCATGTAAGCTGCTATTGTATCAGACATTGCATAAAATGTATTTATTGATGATATTAGCCGCAGTTTCACCCAATCTGTAAGCAGACTCCCCGTTTTAGCCATTAGGAGTGCCAGAAACCACCCCAACCTGGTCAGTTAGGAAAGAAAGACCCCCCGGCCTATGATTAGCCAAAAGTTTACTTTACTAAAGGCAAGGAGGTTACAGAAGAAGCAAAGCTGGACCTGAGGTTTTCATGCGCAAAAGATGCAGTTGACATTCCCTTGCTCCTGGGCAGCCCCCCTGGTTATCGGTCAGTGTCCAATCAGATGTTAACAATGTGTTTGGGGGGCTGAGCCAGATCTGCATTATTTTGGTGTGACCTTGAGGTGGCTGGGACGATATCTCTGAGTCCCCTCCCTGTCTCCCTATTCCCCCCCTGCCCCCCCCCCCCCCCCCCTCGGTTACTGATGTCAGGCTGTCAGCTTACGATGCAATGCGTAGTTTAACAGCATGGCAGCCTCCTTTGTATGGGAAGGGGATGGCTGGGAAGGGGCAGCCCTCGGGAGGAAGTGACAGCTCTTCCATCCTGGCCTCTGTTCAGGTTCAGGTTCGGGAACTGCAGCTGGCCACAGCCGCTCTTGTATGCCAGGATACCTGCCCTTTCCACATGTCCCGTCTCCTGCCTTTCGTGCTGCAACCCTCATTCCTCAGCGGCAAAGAAGGAAGACCCTTCCCCAGATTGGCCAAAGGTGCCTCTTAATATAGAGGGGGGGGAGGAATTAAGGTGCCTCAACAGAGATTTTCCATCTGGAGCCTTGGCAGCTCTTATCTCTTCTGTATCTATTGACCTCTCTAGCAGTAGCTGCACAGAATTTAAGTCTCCTTAATTCAGTATTTTGGTTACATCTTTTTCCCCTTTGTGCAAATCCCACTTCTGTCATTTTTCAAACCATTCTGCTGTTTCCTAATCCTTGTGGTTCTGCTCCACAGAACATCAGAAGTGCCTGGACAAACTGCTCCACAATTGCTTTCTGAGCTGTGTCATGCAAGAGCTGATCGGCTACTACATCACCATGGAAGAGTACTTCATGAGAGAGACTGTGAATAAGGTAGGAAGAACCTTTGTTTGGAAGTTTGCATCTGTTCTCCTTCCCTTCTTGGAGGGAGCAGGCCATTCAACGAAGTCAGTTGTGGGTCCGTTCCCTGCATGGAAAGCTCAGAGGGAAGTAAACAGCCTTTGCTGGGTTAATGTAGGGCAGCTTTGTCAACCTGACTGTTCCAGCCATCCAAGCTTCAGCCAGAAGTTTTTCCAGCTGGTCAGAGATGGAAGCCAGATTTTCTCAGCTGAAGTAACTAGACTCTCCTGCTTAGAAGTTTCTCGGTTTCCTAAAGTGGTGGCTTGGCTTACCAATGGTGGTTTAATCAGCAAAATTTAATACAGTTTGAATCAAGCCGTAGCTGAGCAGAGGAAACCAGTTTGACATTTTCTGCTGAGGAGAGAAATCTTTAACTGTCTTGTCTTCAGGAGCAGCAAAATTTGGAAGCCAGGTGCTAGGCCTCCCTGATTACCTGAGTAGAGCCAGTGTTTGATGCATTGACAAGCCCCAAGTAAACTATGAATGCCTGTTGGCTTTTCTGCTAGGCTGTGGCCATGGACACCTGTGAGAAGGGGCAGCTAACCTCAAGCATGGTGGATGATGTGTTCTACATCGTGAAAAAATGCATCGGGCGGGCTCTTTCCAGCTCCAGCATCGACTGTCTCTGTGCCATGATCAACCACTCCATCACTGAGCTTGAGTCAGAGTTCAGGTAGGCGGTGGGGAAGGAGATGGACCACGTGTGGAGCTCTTGCGGGAACCTGAGGAGGTTCTGCTAAGTCTCGTCTAGGTCTCTGGAAAACAGATATCAGCTGCTCTTTGGACTGTGTGGGCTTCGTGCAGACCTTACTGTTGCACACAGTCAGAACAGATTTGCAAATCTGGGGGCTGGACTAGGACCTCCCGAAGGTTGAAGGAGATGGTCCCATGACTTTGATTTCCTGGAGTTGTGAAGTTAAGGATTGGAGGGACTGGAAGTCTGACAGAGGAACTGTGCAAACTTTTTCAGATTAAACTTATTTATTGGAATGTTCTGAGTGTGAAATAAACTCTAGATGCCCAGATCCCACTCTTTCCTGCTCCTGGTGGCTTGGGACGGACTCCTCCTGCGCCCCAGGGCGGAATTCATGTTACCCGAAGGTGGGCGGCAAGGAGCTTTCTTTGCTCTGCAAATCCTGCCAGCTTTGCTTCCCTAGCCAGGGGTCAGAGCTGGGGAGGGAGGGAGGGGGGTTTGCAACTTGAGGCTCTTGGTCCTGGGTCTAGTTGGCTCCCTGAATCTCCAGCATTCTGGCTTGAGGTTGCCTTCTTTCCACAGGGAGATCCTGGGCCACAGGATCAGGGTGGGCTTCCCGGCCACCCCTTTCCAAGATTTCCAGAGGGGAGTCACCAGCGCCGTGAGCCTCATGCAGAGCAGCCTGCAGCAGGGGAAGTTTGACCCTAAAGGCATCGAGAGCACCGATGAGGCCAAGCAGTCCTTCCTGGTGCGTCGTCCGGGTGGGAATCTGAGGGCAGCGCATGGATTGGAGGGAAAGGCAGAGGGCCGGTGTTGAGGACCAAGCAAAATGGTCGTTGGAAGCACCAACCCAGCGTCATTCGTGGGAGGGGAGAGGTCGAAATGCTTGTCTTATTCCATACCTGCTCTACCTTGAATGTCTGTTGAGGAAAGGAAGCTGAAGAGCCCACGCGTTGGCTCTTGTGTTGAGGGACAGCAAGGGAGCAGCTGGATAGGGGGGTGGCAGTCTTTGTCTCAGAGGGCAGCCCCACAAGCCAAGGCCTGGGCCTGATGATCAAATACATGGGACTCTCTTTGCAGTAGCCTCCCCCAAGCAACTGGGCTTGGCCTGTAGGGCTTTCTCCATCCATTGGGCCAGTCTCTTTCCTTCCCTGGATGGGGAACAGCTTGGGTCCAGGTTTTAAGAGTCAGCTGGATCTGAGAGGGAAAAGGAAGTTGAGGATCAGGCGCCTGACCAACAGATCCTCTTCCCTGGCAAATGAAACCTTCCTTCGTGTCCCCCTGGGTTCCTCCTCCTCCTCCTCCTCCGTGCCAAGTTTCTTCCTCGGAAGAGCAATGACTGAAATGCTAACCTTGGAGGCAAAAGCCCTCAAAGGCTGGAAAAGATCCTGACTGTTCTGCTTACTCTGTTTCAGGTGACTTTAAACAACGTGGAGGCCTGCAGCGAGAACATAATGACGCTGAAGAAGACCCTGGAGGTACTTGTGGGTCCTGAACTCCTGGCTGGAAGCAGGTGTCCCTGTGTGTTTATGTGATTCAAATCCATCTAAATTAATACACTAAATCATTAAATCACTTCATCTCAACTAGAAGTCCGGCTTTATTTGGGGAGGTCCTGCCTGGCTTGTTCCAAAGAAACCAGGATATAAACCGCCTTGGAAAACACAAGGATGCTGAGTGCGGAGCAGGAGGTGGTGGTCCCTGGCCGGGAGGCCACACCCAGAGACTTGGGCTGTATGGGAAGTGGGAGGAAGAACTGAGCAGTGGGAGAGCCCCACCTTCTCTTGCAGTGCTTCATTTCCACCAGACTTGAGGTCTTCCTTCTGCAGAGCGATTCTTGTTTGCAGCTGGGTGTCTGTTCCCCTACAGAGCGACTGTTCAGAGCTCCTCAGCCAGGGCTTTGGAGGAGAACAAGCTCGGCTCAAGCTGGAGAGCTGCCTTGCGGACATGGATGCCGTCTCCAGCAAGTTTCGTGACCTGCTGCAGGTGAGCTTTGGACCCTTGGAGCGTTGCCTGTGCCAAGGCCGCCCAGGAGGAAGTGAAGCTGGCCAGTGGGCAGCATCCTTGCCTGGCAGGAGGTGAGCGGGGGCTGCAAGGGGAGCTTCTCTTCCACTCACCCACATTTTGCCGAGGGTTCCTCCACTTCGGCTCAGAGAGGTGATGCCAGTCTTGAAATACGTGCAGCTTCTCTTTGCCCAAAGGCCGGGATGCCCCAGGCGCCCTTGGCCAGGCTCAGCTCCCAGGTGGCTGCCGCGTAGAGGGGAGCCAGGAGACCTAACCCTTGTTCTCCCTCAGGAAGGCCTGAATGAACTCACCAGCTCAGCAGTCAAACCTCAGGTGAAGCCCTACATTAACCTCTTCCTGTCTGTATCCCACAACATTGAGGAGGTGAGTGTGCAGCCCTCGATTGTTCGTTTGCTTGCCTGAACGCAGGAGGCTGGAGAAACATTGGGTTTAGGAAAAGATTAGAATAATGAAAATCCAGTGGGGAAAAGGAAAACATTACCAAAAGTATTTTATCAAATGGCGGAAGAATTAGGATTAAAAGATATACGGAGAGAAAGAAATCCAGACAAAAAAACAATATACCTATTATTCAGCAACACACACATCATGATCGAGATTGGATGTGTTACGGACAAATGTGGAAATTGAGCGTAATATAAAAGAAATAGAAATTGAAACTAACACATGGGTCGACCATAATCCTATTAAAATAATTTGGAAAGGATTGAAAAAGAACAGAAGATGGATGCTAAATAAGGAGATCCTAAAAGAAAAAGAATGTCAAGATGATGGAAAAAGAATTGGAGTTCTTTCTGAAAGAAAATAAAAAAACATCAAGCATCAATTCCAAACCTATGGGACACGACTAAAACATATATCAGGGGCTTAGCAATTTCATATAATACACGTAGATACAAGGAAATAAAAGGAGAACAATCTAAACAACTAGATACCCTTGAGTTAGAAAAAACACCACATAATAAGACAGCAAATACGGAAAGGATAATGATTAGACACAAACTGAATATGTTAGCACAAGATGAGTGGTTACAGGACATGAAAATGATAAGACAGAATTATTTTGAACACGCGAACAAGCCGGGAAGGTGGCCGGCCTACAGAGTTAAGAAAGAGAAGGAAAAAGATCAATCCAACAACTGAAGGATGCTGATGGTACGTTACAACATCAAACTGAAAAAAAAAGAACATATTGTTAAAAAGTTTTTTTGAGGAACTACATAGTAGGGAAGACGTACCAGAGGAAAATATCCAACATTATTTAGAAGGGAAAGGGCTACCCGCGACCCCGGAAGAGAATAAAGAAGAGATAAACAGGGAAATAACACTAGAAGAACTCCAAGAAGCAATCCTGAAACAGAAAAACAATAAGACACAGGGACCGGATGGTCTCCCAGGGGAACTGTATAAAACGCTCCAAGAAAAATCAGACATGCAATTGTTAGAACTCTGCCATGAGGTACTGACAACAGCGAAGTTACCCAAGTCATGGGGGGAGGCATACATAGCATTGATCCCAAAAGAAAATTCGGACCATCGATGACTTCAAAATTATAGGCCCATATCCCTTTTAAATGTTGACTATAAAATATTTATGTCCATAATGGCAGAAAGATTGAAAAAAACCCTTAACCAGATCATAGCGACCAAAACGGGTTCTTACCAAATAGACAAATCAAAAATAATACCAGAATGGTAATGAATATAATAGAATACTATGAAGCAAACCCAGGAAAACAATTGGCAATGGTCTTCCTCGATGCTTTAACTCAGACCCAAACTGTTGGAAATGTGGAAAAGAAAAAGGCACTTATTTCCATACCTGGTGGACATGCCAGGAGGTGAAAAAAATACTGGAATACAATTAGACACTGCCTAGAAGAAATCGCGAATCAGAAAACTGAATTTAATCCGGAAACTTTATTAGGTATAATAACACAAAAATGCAATAAAACAGATAGATATATCATGTTACACATATTAACAGCTGCAAGGATTTTGTACGCACAACTCTGGAAAGAAAAGGGGGTTCCACCAGAAGGCATGGTTATAAAAGAAATAATAGATTGTGTAGAGATGGACAGGGTGACGATGAAAATAAAAGACAGAAGATTCAATTTACTATGAGGCCTGGTATGAGTGGTTTAGAAATAAAAAGAAAATAAAATGGCAATTAGGAAAAGAATGAGGGAATATCTAAATATGTAAATATACTATAGAGAAGATTGACGTGTAAGGCTAAAAGAGATTGATTTATAGCAAGAGAAAGATGTAACGGTAAAGGAATAAGTAGATACATATACTGAAAAGGAAAGGCCACCAAGAGGTCTCGGTGCAGTAGGGTTCCCATGTTGCTTGTGCTGTCTGTTCCCCTGCCTGGCCTACCTGAAGAGCTGGTGTGGAGAAGCCTCTCTGAAAGCAGACGCGGCCTCGAGACTCGCCTTTCCTTGGGCTGGGGGGCTTGCCAGTCCAGCGCCATCCTTGCAGCCAATTGCCTTCCTACCTGCAGGGTTTCTACCTCCCCAGGGAACAGCCCTGCTGCCCCCAAGCCCTCGGCCGGGCGGGTCTTCCGAAGGTCTCTGGAGGCAAGCCAGGCCTCTCTCCTACGGCTCAGCCCCTGCGTCCCATCCTTTGGCTGCACCTGGCTTCAGCGGACATGGAATTGCCTTGGTGCCGGCTAGAGCCGCCTCTGCCACCACCACCACCACCACCCCCGGTGCTCAAGGGAGGCAGAGGAGGGGAGCGCTTGGTAGAGAAGCCAGCTCTGTTCTCTGCTGCTCTTTCAGGAAGAGTTCAATGACTACGAAGCCAACGACCCCTGGGTGCAGCAGTTCATCCTGAACCTGGAGCAGCAGATGGTGGAGTTCAAGGTAAGTTGGAGGCAGGGAATTCCTCAGAGGGGAACCGGTCACTTCAAGAAGAAGGCAGCTGCCCCGCTGTGTGTGACCCCCTTGCCAAGGGAAGGGCCGGGGCAGCTTTCTCCCTGGACACAGCGGCCTTCTCTCTGGACAGGGCCTCCCCCTCCCGCCAGCCTGCCTTAGTCTGCTTCTGGCAATATGGGGCCATCCTGAACCAAGTCTTCTCCCCTCCCGCTGCAGGCCGGACTGTCCCCCGTGATCTACGATAGCCTCACCAGCCTGATGACCAGTCTAGTCGCTCTGGAGCTGGAGAAGGTTGTTCTCAAGTCCACCTTCAGTCAGGTAAGGTGGGGTAGAGAATGCCAGTAAAGCCAACCAGCATTAAAAGCTGAGCCTTTAGTTATTTGTATGTAGAATGACTTCAGGCAAAGTGTCCCCCCATCTTCTGCAGGGCAGCAGGGCAGATACTTTCCTTCTCTCCACTCCCCAATCCTTTGGAGCGTTCATTTCAGCACTGGGATAATTAGCAAAAGGGAATTATTGTTTGTATTTATGTTCATTGAAGGTTTTAGAAGAGAGTAAAGAGGCACAAAATGAGGAATGCACTAAGTTGTTTGCGTAGCATGTTGCCAGAACAAGCACGTTGCTTTCCACGTTTATTCCCCATTGTGTGCCTGCTTACTCTCTTGTCATCCCTTCCTCTCCAGTCTCTCCATTCTGCAAAGGAGAAAGAAAGGAAAAACACCAGGTCAGGCATAGGACTGTAACGTATCGACTGGAATGGCAGTCATGAGATTGAGGGATGCTGCCGAGCTCAGAAATGGAGGCATAAGTCGTAAAGTTATTTTTTTTAGCATTGTCATAACTTCAGTCACTGAACAAGGCAGTTGGTAACTGAAGCCTCGCTGTACTAGACGTGGTCAGCGTCCAACCTGTGATCCACTGAGACAGCCGGGTCTTTTTCACATCGGTTGCTCATTGTGTTCCTTCCACCATTCCTGTTTCATGGTTTTGATTTTGTTCTGCAGAAGTGTAGGACTTTGCAGTGTCCCCGTTCAGATCCTGTAGAATCTGGATACTGTCCACTAAGGTGTTTGCTGTCCCCACAATTTTGGGGGTAGGTTGCTCCTCTGTATCCATATCACAATAGTATAACTTGTTTTGCTGTCTTCTTTACTAAAACCACAAGACACCCAACGACCTCACATTCCCAGCTAAAACTGATTATAATGGATTCTTGATAAACTCCTGCTGGTTTCTGACAGTAATACATTCTTCTCTGTTTAGCAACTTTCTATTAACTTGCTCAAAACTAAGAATATGCTGACAATCCATAGTTGTTTGGGTTCTTTTTTGCTCAACACTTGGCTTCTCCAACAGCAATAGCATTTAGTCTTCTCGACTGCTTCGGAGTGCTTTACAGCCCTCTACAGAGTCAGCCTTTTGCCCCCAACAATCTGGGCCCTCCTTTTACCGACCTTGGAAGGATGGAAGGCTGAGTCCACCTATGCCCCTCCCCCCCCCCGATCGTACTCCTAGCACCATGCAGAGTTGGCCTGCAACGCTGCATTCTAACCACTGCGCCATCCCAGCTCCTCAGTCCTCTGACCACCTGCTTGTCCTCTTCCGTGAAGTCACAGAAGGGGCCAGCGAGATGACCCCCCCCCCCCCC